CTCCTGTCCTGGTCCCACCGAAGTGGGGGGACGTGCAGCTCTGAGTGGGTCCTGCCCTCTCCGCTGCCCATGGCTCTCGGCAGGGAGTGCAGCGAGCGCCGGCACCCTGGTGGGGAGCACCACAGCAGGCAGGCAGCGAGTCTTTACATGAATGACTTGCCTCCACATGCCCCTTTCTCCCATCAGCCCGTGGGAGTAGAGCAGTAATACCGCCCGTCCTCAGCTACCTCCGAGCACCTACGTGGGCCTCGGCAGGTTTCCCACCCAGACCCATTTCCTCCTGCCAGCCACTGCCAGGCCATCCGTGTGTGTGTGTGTGTGTGTGTGTGTGTGTGTGTGTGCAATAAGGATCAATAAGGTTCGTTTTAACATCAACAGGATGAAATGTCACTGGGAAGGAAAGACATCTGCAGGGACCCGTGGGCTTCCCTGTAATTGGCTAAAGGACCACCCGCGTTTGGATCGGCTATTCTGAGGCTCCCTCTCTCAAGAGGCTCCGTGATGAGAGTACTGATCACTGTGCCTCGTTAGGCGACAGGGACTGGAGCTTGTCTCTTTCCAGTTACACGGCTGAACCCAGAATCTGCCAAGGAAAGGAAGCTGGAGGATGGAAAAGCAAACTCTAGGATTGGAGATGATTGGAGATGTAAGCCCACCCTTCCTGCAACACAGACACAGACACAGACACAGACACACACGCTCTCTGTCCCTCCTGGCTCAGCCCTGCTCTGAGACTTGCTCAGGACCCCGGTTGGGAGTGGGGAGACAGCAAGCCACACATACATTGAGCTGAACTTGGCCCCACTAGGTGCAAACACTCCGAGGCGCGTAGCAGAGCCGATTTCTGCCTCACTGCCAGCACCCGGAGGCTTGACCTCCCCTTCTGAGTGAATGTGGTGGCAGGCAGCCAGGGCACGGACCTCCAACTCTCACCTCAGTGCTTCAGTGTTCGGCTGGCAGGCAGACCATGGGTCCCAGGTCATGAGAAAGGTGAATCCCGTTCTCCATGTGGGAGGCACGGGGGGGCGGGGGGGGGACAGCCTGGGGCAGCAGAAAGCCTTGGAGCGAGCCTTGGGTGTCCACTGGCTCTGCCAGTCCCCGGCCACGAGCTTAGGCAAGTCTCTTTCTGTCTCTGGCTAAGGAGCTGTGAGGACCCAGGGAGTAAGAGCCTACAAATAGCTATTTGTTTAGGTTCCTTCTCAAAGAGGCTTGGTCATTGTGCTGGAGACGTAAATGTAATTATAGCCACATTTTATGATTTTTACATAATGTGGTGATTCGTTTCCTAAGACCTAAAGTCCTTCTTCCTTATCCTCACCCCTCACCCACATAAAGACGGGGATGCGAGGGGGCCGGGGGTGGCCGCGTGACTGCCCTGCGGTCCCAGAGCCCTAGTCCCTGAGTCAGGACCTTACTGCCCTGAACTAAGTCTGCACGTATTGGATGGAAGTATTGAAATTTGCGGTCCCCTCATTTTCAGAAATTGGTTCTAGAACTTCTTACTTCCTAATCCCTCCCATAAATATAAAAGAGCCCCTGACAAAGACCCAGGTTAGCCTGGGCCGTCGATCATGATCTTCATCTGGCTTCAGATACAACAGTTTTCGCAGCCCATATTCAAAATCCTAAAAATATCCCTTTCTTTTGATCAGGGCGGCATCTGTCCTGGTCATCGGCCTTAGGCGTAGCCAGCTTGACCTATCTGCTTTCTCACGCAGCCTTCCCTAAAAAAGAAGAGCTGGTGTGAATAATTTAAACCCCATTCCTGCTGCCCTTTGCCGGTTTCCGACGTCGAATGATCATCATTTAAGCACCAGCCAGGGTTGCATGTCCTTGGGAAAGTGACTTGGAGAGGCTGCAGATGTGCCAGGAGGACGGGCCTGGGCAGGACAGAGGTGTGCCTGTGTGAACTGGACGCCTTCTCTGGGGGGCCCTTGGGAACTTTTGATGCCAGGCCCCTCACTCCTTCTGGCTGAAGTTGGACGCACCTCAACATATGCCTCATCTTTCATCTTTCCCTCTTCTCTTGGGGGACCACTTTTTAAAGAACCCTCACCGAGGATATACTTACTGATTTGAGAGAGAGAGAGAGAGACATCGATGTGAGAGAGAATATTGATTGGTTGCCTTCGGTATTTGCCCTGACTGGGAATCAAACCTGAAACCTAGGCATGTACCCTGGCCAGGAATCGAACTTGCAACCTTTCAACGCATGGAATGATGATCACTTTGGATCGAGCTCACAGAGCTAGACTCATGGCACTTCTCCTCTGGAGTTCCCTCCAGCCTTTAGCTGATTAAAGATTTAAAAAGAAAGTTAAGACACACATTGAAGAAAGATGCAATGAGACCAGAAGGCACCTCCAGGAAGCACAGAATACTTTTAAGCTGCCTTAACCACAACACTCGCCTCTACATGGGAGCCTGGGTTTTAAAAGTCCTGCTGTGTTGGCCCAAGGAAGGTCTTATGACCACCTTCTTGCTTGAAACAATAAAGTGATCGATAATTCAGGGGCTGGGGGGCCAAGCCATGGATTCCTCAGGGTCCCCTGCTTCACCCGTGTCCTGTCCTTGGGCCAGTTCTGTCTTTGGGTCTCTCGGTGGGGGGTGGGAGGGGGCAAAGGAAGAGGACTCTGGGCTTGGAGTTTCCTGTGTGCCAGCAATGTCCCCACACTGCTGGGCTGAGCTGTGTGCATGTGTGTGCACGTGTGTGCATGTGTGTGCATGTGTGTGCCTACACCCACTTTTCTGGACCTCACTTGTGAGCTGGTGCCTCTCTGATGTGTTTGCTTAGTGATGTTGGACCAGAGAATCTTCAGTTCTGGGTGAGATGGAGGTGAACGCAGGCAGCGGTGAAGTGGCTCTGAAAAGGAAGGTATCCCCAGCCAGCAGCCCCTGTGCCCCCAGCCCTGCCAAGGCCTCCGTTGCTGACTCTCTGAGGCTGAGAGGTGCGCACCAGTCTGTAGGCAAGCCCGAGGCCCTGGCCCTCCTTAGGTCTCATTCTTCCCTGCACAGCCCTGGGCACAGGCTTAGGCCCCCAACACAGGCCTCAGACCGTGTGCCTGTTAGGCCGCAACTGGAAACTTCTGTTTTCTTACTGGCTCAGCCTAGATGGTGGACAGGTCCTGCAAACGGGTCACGTAAGAAGGGAGTGAAGAAGGGGAGGCGTGGTCACCGCGCAGAGAGCAGAGCGCTGTCAGTGACGGAGCCGCAGTCTTTGCCAAGGGGAGGAGCTCTTGCACGAGACTGTGGGCACGGGGAGGAAGGGTAGAGAGGGCACAACCTTCAGGGGTTCTTCCCGCTGTCTGACCCCTTCCCAGCTCGGCCTGATTCCTCGTGGAGACCTGGGTTGGTGCTGGCCCTGCCCTTCCTTGCTGATGTTTGGTAGCCTCCCCTGCCCACTCTGGTCTTGGCCTTAGGAGGAGATTGGGGGCGGGGGAGCGGGCTGTCCTGGCAGCAGGTGTACAGGAGTCAGAGGGTTGGTCTGGCAGGTCCTGAACTGGCCTCTGGCTTCTGCTCCCTGCGGTCGCCCCGGCCTCTCTCTGGACACCCTGAGCCAGGTGAGGAGAGCCAGCTTCCCCGGAGAAAGCCTGTCAAGGAGCCTGAGCTGCCCACACCGCCACCAGGAAATGCTCTTGCCCACACAATCCAACCTGAGTCCGATCAGGCTTCTAGAGTCAAGTGCCAGGAGAACGCGTTAAATAACATGACAGGAAAAGCCAGACTGGGAGAAACTATAGCACATATGACCTGGTTTCTTCAACAAATAAGTCACAAGGGAGAAAAAAGAGAGATTGATCAATGGGGGAGCTTAGAGACTAACAGAGACCTAGGAGACAAGCGGACCATTTTAATACATGGACTAATGTAGATTCTAATTCAAACAAACTTTGTTTCTTTAAAGAACAGTTCATGGGTCAGTTGGGGAAATTTGAAACTGTTTGGTTATTTCATGATATTAAGGAACAACTGTTAATCCTTTTTTTTTTTTAAAGAATAGTTTGTTGATTTTTAGAGAGAGAGGAAGGAAGAGGGAGAGAGAGAGAGAAACATTGCTATGAGAGCGCAATACTGATTGGCAGCCGCCTGCATGCACCCACCAGGGATGAAGCGGCACCGGATCAGGCGTGCACCCCTGACCTGGAATCTAACCGGCAACCGATTGTTGCATGGGCAACGCCCAACCAGCTGAGCCACACTGGCCAGGGCACTGCTAATTGTTTTAGGTGTGATAATAGTATTGTCATTATATTTTCTAAAAAAAGGACCATAGGTTTTCCAAGTACACCCTGAAATGTTTACAGATGACCGGATGCCTGGGGTGTCAGGGTGGGGGAGGCGCCAGGTACAGGTGGAACAGGACTGGCTCTGAGGTGAACGTTGCTGAATCTGAGTGATGGGATGTGGAGTTTCACTATGACATTCTTTTCAGTTTCGCACGGCTTTGAAAATCACCACGACCAACTCTGGAAGGAGAGGAGGCAGAGATGAAGAGGAGGAGGAGGAGGAGGAGGAGGAGGAGGAGGAGGAGGAGGAGAAGGGGAAGGGGGAGGGGGAGATGAGATGGAAGAGAAGGAGAAGGATGGGGAGGAAGAGGGGGAGAAGGGGGAGGGGAAGGGGAAGGGGGAGATGAGATGGAGGAGGAGGAGGAGGGGAAGGGAAAGGGGGAGATGAGATGGAGGAGGAGGAGAAGGATGGGGAGGAGGAGGAGAAGGAGAAGAGGAAGGGGGAGATGAGATGGAGGAGGAGGAGGAACAGAAGCTGTGCCAGGACGGAGACTGCCCTTCTCCCTAAGGCCCTGGAGACAAGGCAACAGCCAATCCAAGGGCAGCGCAGCCTCCAGCTTCCCGAGGCCTCGGACTCCAGGCTGGGCCACTCTCCCTGGTGGGGTTCTCAGTCCAGGAGCCTGGTTGGGGTACAGCTGGGCTCCCTGAGGCCCCCCCTCCCCCAGGTTTCCCTCCTCCCAGCAGCAGCGCTGGGTATGGGGCAGCTGCACTCACCGTGGAGAGGCAGCTCCTGTCCTCCCGGATGATGGCACCAAAGCCCAGGAAGCCGGTCACCATGACAAGGGCGCCCGCGAAGATGAGGATGTAGGCGGAGGCTGCGAAGGTGCTGGAGGCCA